TGACAACAATCTGGCCAAAGACTTTTTCAAGGAGATTCCCAAACCCCGCGCCCCAGTTTCACGCTCTCCCACTTGCACTACGCAGCCAGCGCGTAGCGATTCTGCTGTTTTCTAAATGAATAGCTGTGCATCTGGGGTAATGTACTCTGAGAGGAAAGAAGCACTTCCTACAGCTGTTATTTTCTTTATTTCCAGATTCATGTAGGCAAATTCCCAAATAAATCCTACTGTGGAAGCGTTGTTCTCAATCACACCAGGTAGGGGCTTCTTTCTTTTAAGGAAAAGTCAGCACTACTGCAAATAAGACAGCTAGGCCAGGGAAGTGTTAGTGTGCTAGTCTGAACAGGCTCTGCCCCTCCTCGTCTAATAATATCCCACAGATGAGGGATATTATCCCTCATCTAATAATATCAGCCCTTTCAACTGTATACAAATGTAAGCTAAAATTGATCAGAAAATTAAGCTGGTCTAGAATCAGGACCAAAAAAAAAAGGGAGAAAAAAGGCATAGAAATGCCAAAATTGTGATTTTTGAAAACGCTAAAAATACAGTTTTCTGAAATGAAAAATTTTCCAGTGGAAACTCACTCCAGCAAAAAAATGACAATCAGATCGATACTAACTCACTGTCATCGTTCCTAAAATACACAGATCCAGGTACTTCTCTCCAAATAAATAAGGCTTGATCTTCATTGTTCACCACACAGAAAGTCTCTCTTACATCTAGGAATGCAACTCTTTGGGGATTTGGGGGAGGCGGGGTGGAGTAACTACCAAATTAGTATCACATCTACCAGGCAACTACAAGTTCCTGCTGGCCTTACGTACTCATCAGACCTAGGTCACAGAAGCTTCCAAAGCCATGCATCAATTTAGGAAATGGGTACATGGCTCCTCCGCTTCACAGCGGACAGCACTTATCTGCAGGTAGGTTAGTTTGGCAAGCTCCAGAAGAGTCAGCAGAAAAGCTATTTATGCCCATGTAGATGGTAATTGTTATTCCAGCGTGAGCTCTGCAAGAACCCAATGAGAAATCACTGACCTCCATGCAGGGCACCAGCCCGGGGCTGTCTTCCACATCAGCCTCTTGGGAGAAAAGATGGCCCAGCGTTGGGCTGCTGTCAGGGGCCCTGCAAAGGGGCGCCTCTCTTGCACCTTGCAGGTCCCCTTCCCTTTCAATGCCTGGGGAAATGATCATCCTCTTCCCTTGAAGTGTCTGCATTGAAGGAATAGGTCAGGGGCAACAGATGGACCCTGTTTGCAGGGGGTGAGTCAGCCAGAAGGACAAAGGTTAAAACTAGCTCACTCCAGAGCATGAGCTGGGCTCCCCTACTGACCGTGCCAGCTCTCAGAGGTGACATCTGCATGCTCAGCTACATGCACAGTCACTGTAGAGCCAGACAAGCCCTCACTGTAAACTCCTTCACTAGTGAGTAGAGCAGCTGGCACGTCAGCATGGAGTTGCTCATTTCATGCATCTGCCAAAAATAGGCTTTTACACACCTTAAGTAAAGCATGATCACTGTGGGGTGGGGGGAGTGCTTTCAAAACACACTTGCAAGTCTGGTTGTCGAGGCAGACCACAGCACCTGCCAGTCTTACACCCAGCTCCAGCAGCTCCTCCTTTTCCCTAAGGAAAAAGCACAGACTCGACCAACCCCGGCTGCAGCTACCAGCCCTGACCATTAGTCATTCAGGGATTTACCAAAGCAAGGGAGAAATGACAAAAGAAAAGAGAAGTAGATGAAGGGGATGTAGCACCTCAAGAGACCTTTCTATTACAGTGCTCGCTTCCACGTTTCTTTTAGTTCTTCATGACTAAATAATCATCAATTTGGGTATGAAGAACTCTCTGACCCTTCGCCCACGGCCGGATGCTACATGGTGTAACAGGATGGAGCCATTTGCGAAACCACTCTGTGGAAGTTCAACATACTCTAAGCTCAATATGTCTGATGTGCACTCATTTCACCCTTCCCGCTCGCCCCCCAAAAACTGAAAATTAGGCATCGAGTTTATTTAAGAACCTTTACTAATTTTAAATTATACTTTCAAAATACAAGTAAAAAAAAACAAACCTTTGCTAACCTCTACAAAGTAATCTAAACAATAATGCACTTATAACATTTACACATTTTTCTTTCACAATAAAATAGGAGAGTTTAGATCAATATTTACAATATTGACAGAGGACACGGTCAAACAGCCATCTGTTTCTGGTGCTCTCTCTTGCTGGAATACCTCTGAGAGACCACATCCTGCAGTTGCACATGCCTACATAAATCCTTCCGCAGGGAAAAAGCCCTACCAAAGTCTTTCTAGGTACAGGGACCTGCCCATATGGTTCTCCAAAGAGACCAAAGTGGTGGCAAATATTTGCTTTTTCATCTCAAAGCTGCCACTGTAGCACATGAGCATACATACACATGTAGCACATGAGCATACATTGATGAGATATGTAATGAATTCCCTGATTCAGAATTCTGCTTCACAGTATTAGGCACTTTATTATAAAAGTTATTTATTATGGCTTATGCAAAACAATTCACTTTGCTTGGGATATATACTTGCTGGAGTCAATGGGAGAAACGGACACGTCCAAGGGCATGCTTTGAGCCCATTTTTTGAGTTAGTCTGCACTTTAAATTTAGATAATAGCACTTAATATCAGACCTGAAGGAATTATTTTATCAACACCTGATCTTTCCAGCAAGTCAAGCAGTCAGTATACTTTAAAGCTTAGTATATCTGCACTTTATCCCAAATTAGTCATAACTAGAGTATTCCCTCTTACAATAAGTTAACTACTTACATCCATGCTGTTCCATGTGCCATTGGGTGACATATCCCATGTATGATTGTCTTAAAGAATACATTATATTGATGGATTATATTTACATTTCAACATGAAGAAAACAAAGTTGCAACTTACCAAATAATAAATATAGATCAGAGTACAATATTGAACTAAAATAAATTAGAATGATTCTCCAGGTATTGAAGGCCCCTAAGGCCTAAGCCAGAGACCACAAAAAAGTGAACATTTCCCACCAACTTGAAAAGGTTTTAGATACGGCTCCTTATTAACACTGGCTGTTTGAAATGAAGGTGTTTAGCTAGACTGACGGGTGTTTGCAAACGATATGATCAAACAGCAAAAACTTACCTCAGAAAGGAGCCTTTTCGGTAAAACAATTTAGACAAACTGTTAATACTGCCTTTATTAGGAAGATTGTCTTATCATTTAATTCAGCAGCAAGGAAATAAGCATACAGTTAAGTATAAGAACACAACGTATTTGTGAGACAAATACGTGTTAGTGCACATGATTTTCCAAAACTTCACTCTTCAGCTACATTTGTGCAGATTTGAGAATGCTTCTAACTAGACAGTTAATAAAATTCTTTTCTTGACTACAGCTAAGTTTGCCATTAAAAAATTAACTGAAAATCAATACGGAGGAACTTACTTGCCAAAGTTGTCTAGACAAGAATGATGCCAAACTTCAGATCCAAATATATCAGAACACTGAGAAATTTGGAATCTAAGTCAAAATTTTATAACTTAGGCCTATCTCCATCAGACTAAAAAAGATTAAAAGCAGTGAATCTGCTCTGAGAATTGCACGTTCACCAGGTCTGTAAACTCTGTGTGATGCACAGTTTACTAGCAGAGGTATAACTTAGTTGCTCTATGCAAAGCAGTGCAGATGCCTTGTTTGTAATTTAGTTCACGGCTCCTTTTTCTCTTCTTTGAGGATTAAGCATTTAAAGTAATTCAGTAGCTAGAAAGTCTTTGTCTTAAAGAAAAAGGTCTGCGTTTACATGGAAGGTGGGGTGACAGGTGTCCATGTGGATGCTAGCCTAGCATGTGCAGAGGCATCGTACTGGCTGTCAGGAAGGTCTGTAGGTGCACCGCCGTCATACAGCGGGGATGCGGAGGAAGCAGCAGTGACCGGATGAGGAAGGGCAGTGTAGTGTGCTGGAGAGCCACGTAAAAACTGGGAGCTCAGGCCATTGGACATCCCACTTGACTGAGACACCGGTGTGATGGTGCTGTTACTCACAGACCATAAGTTAGGATATTGACTGAGAGAGAGAATGAAAGATAACATAGATTATTACTGATTCAAGTTTCTGCTGGCTGTTGCTCAGATCACAACACAAACGCCAGATGCATTTGATGCGGACAGTGACATTTCAGCCACTGCAAAGCAGAAGGACTCTGAGGCAGGTGGGCTGTGTTCATGCCACCCCACCAACACATCTAAAACAGCTCCACTTTGCAGGAGTTCCAGCACTCCGTGTACCGATTTTTAGGCCAAGCTGAGGAATTATCAGGCTAGGCTGAAAAGTTCAGAGGTTCAAGAGCTGATTCATGAGCCAAGAAGATACTAATTCTTACTTCACATATAGGAGCCTAGATAAAAGGAATGGCAGAAATGCCTTCCTTAAGGTCCACAGTTCCAGTTCTCCCGGCTTTATCTACCGGTTAACTCTTAGGGCAGCAGCAACAGAAACTCAGTGGACTTTGCAGCTTTGCCAGGGGTCAGGCATGGAAAGGAGTGCTAGAAGTATTTGTTTACATGATTAACATAAGAATGCTTTCCACAGACTGTCATCTGAGGAGTGCATCTGCATTACCAAACAAGATGCCCAAATCTCCCCTCTGTGTTTCATACCAAAAATTTTACCACCTTAATTCAATTCCCTCAAATTTTCAAGTTTAACTCCAAGGGACTGACTGTAAGCTAAATCTCTGCTAAAGGGCCAAAAGGTTAATTAAGGTAAGTACAGAAAAGAGAAAAGATACATTCACATGATCACGAAATAAGTAAGCGTTTCACTAAGTGTGTAATTACATGCTGTGCTGGTTTGGTTGGCAATGTTCAAGTAAAAAATTCCTACTCCAGCCACTTGTTCCTTCTCCACACTGCCCCTCCATTTGTAGCAGAGCAACGGTTTGTGGAGATGGATGGGAAAGTGGAAGCTAGCTAAAATGAAACAGATTAAAAATAACCTTTTTGAACACAGCTTAGCTCAAAAGCAAAATGAGATGAAACTTAAAAGAGCATCCTCAAATTCAATGGACATTTGTCTAAGTGATCTGTGTTTCCTTAATCTATAAGATGGCATTGTCACAAGTATCTATATTTTCAAAATCAAAATATCAAAAAGTAACTGTTTGTTTCTCCAGTCTGTTTTCCCTGTGTATAGTCCATTTTCAGTACCTTCCCTGAATGGTCAGTAATTTTCATATAGTAATAAGGATTTGTAATTTGATGGTGAGTTTTATTAATATACTGATTTGGGAGCTGCTAAGGGATGGAGTCCTACCTGGAGCTGGTGGCTGTGCCAGTGCTGTGACTCATGGGCAGCATAGTCGTATGCGTGGGAACTCCTAGACTGGACCAGTTGTCATGGGACTGGAGCATGGAAAGGCAGGCAGAGGAATTATCGGCATAGGCTGCTGCAAAAACAAGCAAGCACTTCAGCGTGTTAAAATCAGACCAAGTAATAATCTTGTATTCAAATGCAACGTATAACTTTAAGCTAACATCCCCCACTAATTTTTCTGCCTGGCAAAAAAAAAAGCCCAGAAAAATGAACTCAGCTTCCAGTTTTGTCAGCCTGCAATTTCACTGGCATTGCCTGGCTGATGCACTGTTTTGCTCAATTACAACTGCAGTCTTAATTCTCTAAAGGATCTACAGACAAAAAGCTATCTGCAAACCACCTACTAATTCAGGTCATGGCTCCTTATTCGGTCAGTGGAGAGAGGTAGGCTCCTTGATTACACTATCCCAATCTCTCTTCCAAGGCACTGTTTTTGTAACCATCATCTACATTGGCAGTAACAGTCTGGCAGTCCTAGATAATAGGCAGTTTGAATCACCCATGCCAGTTTTGAACTGAGAATGCCAGCACAAGCTCTAAAGTCTGCGATAGGCACATCGAGAGTGATCAGACTACTCAGATTGTGATCAAACTGGCTGGCCAATTCAGCAAAAAACATTAGGAAACTATAAAGAGAATCCTATTCAGCCATCCATAGCCAGAAGAGAGGGGCTGTGGTAGCTGGCTTTAAGAGGAGAAGAGTTTATTTGCTGAGGACGGGGGAAAGAGGAGGAACACAGGAAGTGCTGTGTTCTTTTATTTTGTTTCAGGTTGCAAAACGCACATAGAATTTCAAGATTTAAAAAAAAAAAAAAAACCTACAGAGAGCAAGTTTTCCTCTTTAAAATGAATTACAAAGCTACATACAGGACTGACCAGGCCGTGTCTGGAAGTGTATGTATTAATTCATAGTTCAAAATAATGTTGTTTTTAAAGGAGAGCCTTCAATATCCATTACAGGTTGATAGGCAAAAATTGTTAACAGGCCTTTGCCAGGAAAGCAAAAAAAAAAATCACTGCTAAAATAGCCCTGCTCTCCTCTCCTGAAGTACAGTGCATGTTTCTGAGCACAAACATTAAATAAATCCACAATTTACTCAGCTCTATATTATTACTGCGTCCAATTCTGACACACTCATTGAGGCCAATCTTAGTATGTACAGATTGCAATAATTTACATCAATGCAGGTAAAACTAACAGAATCAGGCCCTCAGTTATTTGCTTAAATGTGTTAATAACAAGTGACTCTATTAACAGAATGGGACAAACACTTAAATTCATTTCATTGTCCTTCCTGCAACTAAAGATTAAAAACTTCATTATCAAACTTGAATTAAAAAAACGTAAAGGTAAGTTTAATCTCATTGGTTGCTAGAATTCAAAAGCACACAACAAAGCTAGCACAGTATAATCTAATCCATTAACAGGAGACAGAGTTCTACACAACCTCAGTTTTTCCACTGTAATGACCCTGGGAAACATACTCATTCCAGTTACTTCTTTGCAATGGCGGCCCCAAGCCCTCTGCAGAAACCGAACTAGATAGCAACCTTGGCTTCTGTGGCATCACTTTAGATTCACACTGGTATAATTGCTCAGGGCTTAGATCCCTTGGCTAATTTCCCATCTTTAGATATCTGCAAAGTAAGACTTACTTGGTGAGTTGTTTCTATGGGTGTAGGGATTGGGGTAAGGGGCAGAACGGTGATTCCTCAGCGATGAGTACCTTTCACAGCTGTGAGCAGGGGAGAGTGACAGGGGTGCTCCAAACTGAGGGTGAGGATTGGCAGGCGGGCACAGAGACCCAGTCCCAGGAATAAGCCAACTACCTACTGTGAGAGAGCAAGAGTTTTGTAAGATAGGTACACAATGCAGCCAGACAGTGAAAGAATTATGCTGTGCCAAGATACATAATTGATCATCAAGGAAATGCACACTTGCAGAAGAAAACCAAGTTTCAATACATCCAAAAAGTCTAGATCTCATACAACTTTCTGAAATGCTCTTACAAAGGAAAATTTTATTTTAAAAGGCCTTGGAAAAAGCCCTGTGTCAAGTCAACGCTTTTTTTTTTTTTTAATTACTATTTAATTACAATCACAGTAAGCAAACAGTGAAATGGTTAAATCATCCCTTATGTAAGTAATGCATACTCCTTTTGTGTGCTTAATAGTGGTTAGTAAATCTTTAGTTTTAAGTGGCTCTTTTGGGGTCTCCATTTAGAGCTATGCTTCGAGGTTTCTCAGACTGCTAAGAAGAATCCTTAAAGATTAAATATTTTCACTGAAATATAAAATAATTCCTACTGCAACTCATAATAACCCAATTTATAAGTTAGTTGCAGATACAGCTGGGCAATAAACCTTCAAAACAGAAATCATTTTAAAATTCTAATGCTTTTTGGTAGATCTGAAAAAGTACCTTTTTAAGCAAATGCCTCCAATTTTCTAAAAACACTTAAAACATAATTCAAAAAATTTTCTGCTGTATTTTGAAATAAACTTTTTTCTCTTTAAATGCATTTGAATATCGCTATCCTCACATACAACATCGTTTTCTTATTGGAAATGAAGGTAACTGCAAGATTCTATCGAAGAATTTTGAAGGTATTACTGATCAAAATCAAAACATTATATTTAAATCAAATACATATTATCAAATCACAAACCTGCACAAACACAAGTTGTAAGGATTGGTAATACTATTCTCCCATAATTTACAGTATAAGCTATGCCAGCCAGCAAGCATTCCTCTCTAAATTTTGCTTAATGCAACTGATGAGATAGAAGAATTCAAAGTTAGAACATGATATAGAGTGAAAATAAGCATACATTGCGAATACCCAGACTGCTGGTTGTCTCCCACTTCCTCCATCATGTCTTTGTGATCACTTCTGTAAAAGAAACCACACTGAATTAGTTAAGAGTATATTTTCACAAATCTATAAAAAAATTCCACAAACTTCAGAATTGAGTTTATTTAGGAGCTCTCACCTTTCTTTTGCATCAAGAAATGCCTTTGCAAAGGGATTGTATTTAATTTTTAAAGCTGTAATCTAAAAACAACAACAAATATCTTAATTTGCAAGTATCACTATTCATCACCATACAGAAATTAAGATTTAACTTAGAACTATCCACTGAAGTCAGTGAAATCACTGATTTCCAAAGATCAGGGCCATAATACAAACCTCTATACATCACTTACACAGCATGTACAAACCTATATGCATCACTTAAACAGCATTTATCTCTCTTAAATATTAGCAGTGAGCTAGCAATTATTCTCTTTGCCAAATTTTAAAGGAAACCAAAGTCACTAGCTGACTGAATTGCTTGGGTTTATTAATCACCTAAAAAAACAGTTCAGAAAGGTAATACACTAAAGACAGTTACAAAAAGCTTCAAATTTCAGGACAGAACAGAACAGGCAACAATAAATGCAGATTCAATAAACATTACAGATGCATTAAACATGGACATGAACACTTTGGCTAACAGAAAGAAGAGTCAGTTTTGAAAACGGCATGCCGAGCTACTTCACCATGTATTTAAAAATGACAATCATATTTCTCACCATACTTCTCTGGCCCAAAAAGTCTTTTAAGAATTATTCTTCTGCAGTAAGTTTGCAGTATACCCTGAGACAGTGATCAGAACTTTGTGTTGTTACCTGTTCATATGGCTTCACTTATATGAAATTCACTTTTACATTCAACTTCAAATGAAGCACAGAAAGAAGTAAAAAAAAATTGTGATAAAAGATCCATTATTTTGCTTTGCAACTTGCACTTTACCACTTGCAAGTACTGGGAGGTTTCTTCCCCGCCGTGCATACCTCCTCGTTCTGGTACGCTGTCACAGCTATAAACTGGGTCTCCGGGAAGGAATGGCTGGTGATCATCCGCTGCGGGCCACCAACTCTCACTATATGAATCCTAGGCTCATACTTGTGCAGGGAGTTCAACATGATCTGTGAGGAAATGGATAGAGAAGGTAAGCAGTGGCAGCAGATCGCAACAGGCACAGAAAGCACTGCAGTCTTGTGAAGTAACTCGTGATCCGTCTTTCCAGTGAAGAAGGAAGAGGCAACAGGTCCCAAAAAATCCTCAGACTGAAGCCATAAGGAAAAGGAAAGAATATTTCAGTCAGACACCCTAACTTTTGGCTTCCTTATCGTCATCCTGTACATTTGACAGGGCAACCTATACAGCCACAAACACAGCGATAAATAGCCAGAAAGACGCGTCCACACCATTTGCACCCTCACATATTCAAGCCAGAAAGACATTAAAAAAATTAAAACATGGAGGAGCCCACCCTTTGCCAAAAGCGCAGTCCTGCGGGGGAAAGAAAAGCAGCGCTCGGAAAAACAAGCGGACCAAGGGCCGCGCTCCCTCCCCCGAGGCGCTGGGTAAGGGCAACACCGAGAGGGGCATT